CCCTTTCTTGCTTGGAGGCTGGGGCTTCCTGTCCACTAGGGAGCAGGTGCAAAACTGCACAGAGGTGTGGCGTTGCACTGAGGCCCTGGGCCCAGGCTGGGGCTGGGAGGCCAGGCGCCCGGGCAGCCAGACTGCAACATGCTGACCAGATCCCTGTGCATGCAGCAAGCGTGTGAGATGGTAATGGACATCCTCCGTGAACGAGAGCAGGGTGGCTTCGGGGACCGCACGGAGTACGGCTCTCGCATTGGTGGAGGCATTGACGTGAGTAGAGGGCAGGGAGGGTGCAGCCAAGCTGCAGGCGAAGCTTGCTGACCCTGCGCCTCCCCAACTCCCAGGTGCCAGTGCCCAGGCATTCTGTTGGAGTGGTCATTGGCCGGAGTGGAGAAATGATCAAGAAGATCCAGAATGATGCCGGGGTGCGGATACAGTTCAAGCAAGGTGAGGTCCCTGTGCCTGGCTTGTGTGTCTTACCTGAAGATCGGGTAGAAGCAGTGTGCCACTGAGGCAGGCTGCAGTCCATAGGAAAGGCCCAGCCATCAGATCATCCACTAGGAGACCACCCGTCCCCACCATATGTTCCTCCCCAAGTTGGGCTAACCTCAGGGCTGGGCAGGGGACCAGTGCTGTTGAGGGTGCTTGCTGGAAAGTCCAGAAACTATCGCTCAGCTAGCTCTGAGCCTGAAAGGCAGGAAGGGGCCTCAGCTGCTGCCCTGCTGCCCTTCCACCAGGGGACAAGGGGGTTCAGGGCACAGCATGATGGCAGACCTCAGAGGCACCTGTGGCTTGGCAGTGTTTCCCCGGGGTGCCAGTCCAGAGGCTGGGAGTTGTGCTTTTAAATCGATCTCTGCTCTCTCGGTGTTGGCCGCAGATGATGGGACGGGACCCGAGAAGATTGCTCACATCATGGGCCCCCCAGAGCGCTGTGAGCACGCGGCCCGGATCATCAACGACCTCCTCCAGAGCCTCCGGGTGGGTGGTCTGGGGGTGCTGCCTGGGCTGGTGATGCCCAGCCCTCCTGGGGACATCCGGGGCCAGGCTGGCTTCCTGCTTCAGTCCTCATTCTCCCTGTTCAACAGAGCGGTCCTCCAGGGCCTCCTGGGGGTCCTGGCATGCCCCCTGGGGGCCGTGGCCGAGGAAGAGGCCAAGGCAACTGGGGGCCCCCTGGTGGAGAGATGACCTTCTCTATTCCCACCCACAAGTGTGGGTTGGTCATTGGCCGAGGTGAGTTCCCCTTCCCCAACCCCACCCCCAACCCCCATTGCCCCTCATTCCTACTCTCCCCTCACTGGCTGTGGCTCTGCAGGTGGTGAGAATGTGAAAGCCATCAACCAGCAGACGGGCGCCTTTGTGGAGATCTCCCGGCAGCTGCCCCCCAATGGGGACCCCAACTTCAAACTCTTCATTATCCGCGGCTCACCTCAGCAGATTGACCACGCCAAGCAGCTCATTGAGGAGAAGATTGAGGTGGGTTCCTGGCCAGGAACCTGCCACCCCATTTCCCTGCACGCTGCCACCCTACTCACATCCTCGCTTCATCTTCCAGGGTCCCCTCTGCCCAGTCGGACCAGGCCCCGGGGGACCAGGCCCTGCAGGCCCCATGGGGCCCTTCAACCCAGGGCCCTTCAACCAGGGGCCACCAGGGGCCCCTCCACAGTGAGTACTCCTGACTTGGGGTGGGGGGAGCTAGACCCACTCCCATATCCCACCATGCATGGGATGGGTGGGGCCATACAGCACCTCACAAGCTCCCTATGTCTCCCACAGTGCCGGCGGACCCCCTCCTCACCAGTACCCACCCCAAGGCTGGGGCAACACCTACCCCCAGTGGCAGCCTCCCGCTCCTCATGACCCCAGTAAGTGTGAGAGCCCCTGGGGAGGCTGGGCCATGCTCCCAGGCCTCCCTCACCACCACTTGCTTTCCTGCAGACAAGGCAGCTGCCGCCGCCGCTGACCCCAACGCCGCCTGGGCCGCCTACTACTCGCACTACTACCAGCAGCCCCCCGGGCCCGTGCCCGGGCCCGCGCCCGCACCCGCCGCCCCACCTGCTCAAGGGGAGCCCCCGCAGCCCCCACCTGCAGGCCAGTCCGACTACACCAAGGCCTGGGAGGAGTACTACAAGAAGATGGGTGAGTGCCACAAGGAGGCCCCCTGCCCTGCCCCTCCACCCCACGCTATCCTGGGGTACCCCGATCCTCTGCCCCACTCCTTCCCAACCCTGACCCTCCACTGCACTCCACCCCCCAGGCCAACAGCCACAGCAGCCAGGAGCCCCACCACAGCAGGACTACACCAAGGCCTGGGAGGAGTACTACAAGAAGCAGGGTAGGCCAGGGCCTCCCCAGGGGTGGGGCACAGCGGGCAGGGGGCAGCTCTCCGCTCATTCACCTCTGCCTTCCACACCACAGCCCAAGTGGCCACTGGAGGGGGTCCTGGAGCACCCCCTGGCTCCCAGCCGGACTACAGCGCTGCCTGGGCTGAATATTACAGACAGCAGGCCGCGTACTACGGACAGACCCCCGGCCCCGGCGGCCCCCAGCCGCCCCCCACCCAGCAGGGACAGCAGCAGGCAAGTGGGAATTGCCACCCTCCTCCTCCTCCTTTCTCCTTCCAACCCCCGGCCACCGTCCATCCTGCCTTAGTGGGTAGCGCCGGAAACCCCTTCCCCTGCGGGGTGTGCCCTTGATGCCTGCAGCGGGCGTGTGGCCAGAGTCTCCGGAGCGCCCCGCGCCCGCCGCCCGCCCGCCCGCTGCCGCCGCCGGGAAGCGCTCGCTGGGTCCAGAGGCTCATGGAGGAGGCTCCTCGCCAGCTGCTCGTTCCTGTGTGACTCTGTCGCCACGCTGGGGGAGCGCGAAGCACGCACAGGTGGAACTTGAGAACTGGTGGGTAGTCCTGGGTGGGACCGGCAGGCAGCTCCCATGGCATCCCGCCCGCTGCCGGCCGCTCGGAGTCTGCCCACTTGGGAAGAAATTTTTTTTTCTCTCCCCTTCTTCGCATCACTTTTTGGGGTTTTGTTCTTTTTATTCCTTTATTTTTTAAAAACCACGACCTTTATCCCCCACGTCCAAGTGACTGCGTGTGCGGGCTGCTGGCTCTGTGCGGGCTGCTGGCCATCGCGCCCTCGCGTGCTCGCCTCTGTGTCCTGGTCCTGTCTGTGAAGTGGGCATGGCGACCGATGCCACTTTCCAACCTACCTCACAGGGGTGTTGTGGGGACACCGTGATCTGACTGTTGATGTGTGATGCGCCGAGCCGCCAGCACCCCCTTTTCCACCCCCCTCCTCACTCCTGCTTCTCTCCTGCCTTTCCTCCTCCTCCTCCTCCTCTTCCTCTTCCTCTTCCTCCAGGCAGCAGTCTGACTTGAGAGTCCTGAGAGGCTAGACAGTGGCAGGCCTCAGCCTCCGCCTGGGCCGCACAGGCTTGGAGGGCTTCCTGGCTCCTCCTGGAGGTCCAGCTCTTCACCCAGGCCCGCTGCCCCTCCCGTAGTGACCAATTCCTGTCTCTCCCCTCTCCACAGGCTCAATGAATCGAATGAATGTGAACTTCTTCATCTGTGAAAATCTTTTATTTTTTTTTCTCTCCATTTTGTTCTGTTTGGGGGCTTTTTTTTTGTTTGTGTTTTTCCTTGGTTTGTTTGGTGAGCGCGGTGGCTGCCTGGGGTACTGCGGGCCCCTGTGGGGGGCCAGCTCTCACACCCCAGCGTCCGCATCCTCTTCCTTTCAAAATTGGGATTCTTCATGTTGAGCCAGCCTTAGAAAATAGCGAGAACTAAAAATCTCTGCCAAAAAAAAAAAACTTTAAAAATTAAAAACACAAAGCAGAACAAAACCTATTAAATGATATATATATATATAAATCTCTATCCCCCAGCCTTCCCAAAACAGCCTCTCCTGAGGGTAAAGTGATTCGTTTTCTCCCAACTGCCCGTGGCCCTCTTGTTTTTAAAATAAACTTTCAAAAAGGAAAAAAAAAGTCACTTGCTATTTCTTTTTCATTTTTCTCTCTCTTTTTTTTTATTTTTTATTTTTTTAGTTAGAGTTGAACATTCCTTGGACCAGGTGTGGGTATGGCAGACCCCTCCCCCCTTCCCTCGCTCCTCCCTCCCCACCCACACCCACACCCGCCCCCGCCCAGGACTGGTCTGCTCTCTTGTCTTTTCATCTGTTCCAGAGGAGATAACTAGAAACAAAATGAACAAAACAAACAAAAAAATTGTATGGCAGTTTTTACTTTTTATCGCTCGTTTTTAACTTCACAAATAAATAATAACAAAACCTCCCTGTGTCTGCCACGAGTACTGTCTCTCTCTCTCTCTTCCTCCTCCCTGCAGACTTTTGAAGCTGATATTTGTTCTTTATAGATGTTGTTTAAAAGAGAAAAAAAAAGCCTGATGATGGTGTTGATTGGAAATTTAGAAGCTTTGTGTTGTGTGTGGGTTTTCTTTGTTTTTTAAAAAAAACAAACTAGCTTTCTGCAGGCAGGCACATTGCTTTCATCCCTCCCCTTTTTGTTAAATAAAGTGCTTTATTTTAAAAAAAACTGCATGCTGGCTGCAGTTGTGTATTGAGAACCAGGCGAAGGACGAGGCTTTGCGGATGGCAGGAGTGGGGCATGGGTCCACGAGTGCGCTCCCGCGTGGAGAAGGGCAGGGCTGTCTCTACTCCCCTTGGTTCCCTCTGGGAACCTGGGGAGTCAGACACCTAGGCGGGTCCCCCGGGCCAGGTTCCTATGGCACAGCCTCTGGAGAGAACAACTGTGCACCGGGCTTTGGCTATATTGCCAATCAATGTTTAGGCCTGGCCTGTGCCCAGCTGGGTGAGGTCCAGGCTGAGCAGCTGGGATGGAGGGCAGCCCTGGCCTCCACAGTCTGGGGCCAAACAGCAGACAGTGGGCCACCACTGCCTCTAGGAGGCACTGTCATACCTGCTAGGTACCTGCTTTTGTGGATCCCCTTGGGAGCCATCATTGCTCCAGGGTGGAGCCGAGCCTGCCGACCTGGCTCACTGCAAACTGTCAATGACCAAACAGCACTTGGCAAAAATGTTCTCTGGAGCCTCTTCTGCCAAGATCTGGGGAAGGGGGGAGGTCAGGCAGGATCAGGAGGCATCCCATTAGGGACACTGCCTTCTCTGCCCATGTAGGTTTTGGGACAAGGACCACTCAGGAGCCAGGAGATGGAAGAATCCCCACCATCTCCTTTCCTGGCTGAAAGTAGGGGTTTGGGTCTCCGCCCTACCCTGTTCCCACTACTTGGAGCCCACTGTGGTGGTTAGGGCTCAGAGCCCCCTACAATGAAGAAATGGGGCCACCCCACCCCACAGTACTAGCTAGGGAACCAAGCCCAACTCCAAGGGACACACATTTCGCAGCAGGTTTTTCTGCTGGTAGAAGGTGAGGACAGGCTGGCATAGGGTGTAGTGTGTCTCCAGGCGCTTGCGGATGGCCAGCTCTGAGTTGTCTACCCGCTGCTCCACCTGGCTCTGGAGCAATGTCCGCTGCACCATGGTCTCCATAGAGCAGTCAAACATGATGACCATGTCTGGGGCCCGGCCCACCTAGGCATGAACAAGGCTCTGAGTGAGAAGGGGCCCTGCCAGCACCTGGCAGAGACTGGGCACAAAACTCAGGCCTCCCTGGTCCAGTGTTTTGGTTCCTTTTTGTCAGTCATGGGGGCTTGACCTCAGGGCTTGGGTGCTGTCCCTAATCTCTTTTGCTCAAAGCTAAGTGCTCTACACCTTTGAGCCACAATGCCATTTCTGGTCTTCTGGTGGTTAACTGGAGATGAGAGTCTCATAGACTTTTCCTGCCCAGGCTGGCTTTGAACTGCACCCTCAAATCTGCGCCGCCTGAGTAGCTAGGATTCCAGGCATGAGCCACTGCCCCGCCCCCCCTACCTACCCTGGCTTTATTTTCTAGTTTAAGTTCTCCTTGTTTTCTTTCCAGTCCTGAGGTTTGAACACTGGATTCAACTTAGAAATACAAATTGAAGTTTTTTTGCCCCAAATATTTTGGATCAGAGATTGAGAATCCTGGAATAAGGTATTGAGGCTGACTAATACAGGTTCATCTCAACCAAGTGGGTTTCAGGTCAGGAACGAGTCTTATATGATCTATTGCTTTAGCCCAGAAGTAAAGGAGCAGCTATCTGACCATCTGCAGACACAGAAAGGGCAAGTGACAACATTAAACACAAATTCATTTTATAAAAAGCAATTTCCAAGAAACACTGCCAGGAATTGCTAAGTATTTTCTCAGTCAGTACCTTAACCAGGAACCTTACTTTCTAATCTTGTCACTTTTAGTTATTTTTGCAGTGCAGGAAGAGCCCAGGGCTTCCTGCACCGCAGGCAGGTGCTCACCACTGAGTTCCAAACCTGCTCCACTCTCGCACCTCTGGCTTGTTGGGATGGGAGTTAGCTAAAGTGGTCAGATTTCAAAAAAGAGAAATCAGAACAGACCAGGTATGGTGGATCGCACTCATCCCAGTTACTCAGAAGTTGGAAATAAGAAGGATCTTGGTTCCAGACCTGCCCAGGCAAAAATAAAGCTTTGTACTCAGGGAGGAAGGGGGGTATATGAATGTGATCCCATCTACACAGGAGGAGATAGGAAGTTCGGATTGCTGTCCAAGTCTACCCCCGACAAAAGCAAAAGCCCATCTGAAAACAGCAAGCAGGGGTGGGGACATGTGTTTGAGCAGCCTTAGCAAGTGAGAGGCCCTGAATTTAAACCTCAGTGTCACCAAAATGAAACAAAATCTAAGGAGCCGGGCACCAGCAATTCACACTAGTGACTCAGGAGGCTGAGATCTGAGGATCATAGCCCAGGCAAGACATGTTGGTGAGACTTTTTTTTTTTCTTTTTGGTGTGGGTCATGAGGCTTGAACTCTGGGCCTGGGCGCTGTCTCTCAGCTCTTCAGCTCAAGGCGAGCGCTCTACCACTTGAGCCACAGCGTCACTTCCAGTTTTCTAGTAGTTTATTGGAGATAAGAGTCTTACAGACATTCCTGCCTGGGCTGGCTTTGAACTGTGATCCTCAGATCTCAGCCTCTGGAGTAGCTAGGATTACAGGTGTGAGCCATCAGTGCTGGCTTTGTGAGACTCTTATCTCCAATAAACAACAGAAAAAAAGAAAGAGAGAAAGAAAGAAAGGAAGGAAGGAAGAGAAAGGAAAGAAAAAGGAAGGAAGGAAGGAGAGAAAAAGAAAAAGGAGGGGAAGGAAGGAAAGAAAAGGAAATGAAAGGGAAAGGCAAGGCAAGGCTGGGAAGGTGGCTCAGTGGTAGAGTGCTTGCCTAGCATGCATGAAGCCCTGGGTTCAATTCCTCAGTACCACATACACAGAAAAAGCCGTAAGTGGTGCTGTGGCTCAAGTGGTAGAGTGCTAGCCTTGAGCAAAAGAAGCTCAGGGACAGTGGCTAGGCCCTGAGTTCAAGCCCCAAGACTGGCAAAAAAACAAAAAACGAATCTCAAGGATAAGCCAGGCACCAGTGTCTCTCACCTTCACACCTGTAATCCTAGTTACTCAGGAGGCTGTGGTCTGAGGATCACAGTTCAAAGCCAACCCAGGCGGGAATGTCTGTGAGACTCTTATCTCCAGTGAACCACCAGAAAACCAGAAGTGGCGCTGTGGCTCAAATGGTAGAGCACTTGCCTTGAGCTGAAGAGCTGAGGGACAGTGCCCAGGCCCAGAGTTCAAGCCCTAAGACCGACAAAAAAAAAAAAAAATCTCAGACATTCCTGTTTGGGCTCTCTTTGAGCTGTGATCCTCAGATCTCAGCCACTAGAGGAGCTAGGATTACAGGTATGAGCCACTGGTGCCCAGCAACTGTTTATTATATTATGTTTTGTACCAATACCGGAGCTTCCACTCAGGTCCTGGATGCTGTCCCTTACATATTTTTGCCCAAGGCTGGTGCTCTACCACTTGAGCCACAGCTCCACTTCCAGCCTTTTTTTTGCCAGATAACTGAAGCTAAGAGACCTAAACTTTTCTGCCCCAGTTGGTTTGGAACTGAGATCCTCAGCTCTCAGCCTCCTGAGTAACTAGGATTACAGGCATGAGCCACCAGCACCCAGCATCAATTTTATGAAAGGACCTCTCTGGACACCTAGACAGTGACCTGCTCCCCTGGGATTGCTGGGGTGCTGCTTAGAGATAGTGCAATGAGGAAAAGCTGGCCCAGGAGGCTAAGTGGGTGCCACAAGTGGCCACTGCTTTTGGCTTCAGTGGTCAGTCATCCACATGGCCCCCTGACCACGCAATATTTACTTTCAGAATTTATGGCCCACATTCCCGTTTGGGGGTGTACCTCAAAGCTCCCTGCATCTCTGGGGATAGAAACGACCGGCTTGGCAGCGTAAGGCCTACCCATCCCCGAACAGCAGCAACCTGAACCTCCCTAGCCCTTTTCTCCACACTCTTCATGGGAGAACTCATCTTCTGGAAAGTTCTGTGGCCTCCCACCATTTTTACAGAAGGATGGAGAGGCTATGTCCCAGGTCACAAGGTGTGTGGGGGTGGGGGTGGGGAGGGGAGGGAGAAGAGGCAGTCACAAGAGTGAGACCTTGACAGGATGAGGCCCCCTCCCAAGGCCCAGGCTTCAACCCCTCTACAGGGCAATGGAGGTGGGGGGCATTCCCCCTTTACAGCCCACCCCACCTGCTTCTCGAACCTCAACTGCTTCTCACAGAGTAAACAGTTCACCTACCAGACACCAGGAAAAGGCTAGGAAGACACTGAAATAACTCCCTCCCACCCTCAGAGAGCTCCTGAGTTCCTCTCCCAGTTCTGGAAGATCCTAATCACCTGTTCCCCCACCCCCTGGGGTTTGAACCCAGGGCCCCCTGCATGCTAGGCAAGAATTCGACCACTGAGTCACATCCTCAGCCCTTTTGGCCTGAATTTAGGGCCTAAGTGCTGTCCTTGAGCTCCTTTTGCTCAAGGTGAGTGCTCTACCACTTTGAGCCACAGCTCTATTTCTGGCTTTCTGGTGGCTAATTGGAGCTAAAAGTCTCATGGGGACTTTTCTGCTCAGGATGGATTTGAACCAAGATCCTCAGCTTCCTGTGTAGCTAGGATTACAGTTGTGAAGGTCCAGCTCTTTTTTTTTTTAATTAATTTTTATTTTGAGACAGCATCTTACTAAATTGCCCAAGCTGCAATTCTCCTGCTTCAACCTCCCAAGTAATGAGAATTACCAGTGCATACTACCATACCCACCAAACTAGGCATTCTTTTTGTGAATGTATGTGCCAATTCTGGGGCTTGGATTCAGGGCCTGGTCACTGTCCCTGATTTTTATTCAAGGCTAGCACTCCACCATTTGAGCCACCGCTCTACTTCCAGCTTTTTGGGAAGTCATTTATTAGAGATAAGAGCCTCACAGACTCCTGACCAGACTGGCTTTGAACCACAATCCTCAGACCTCAGCCTCCCAAGTAGCCAGGATTACAGGTATGAACCACCGGTGCCTGACCTGAGACTGTTCTTTTTTCAGTCCTGGGGCTTGAACTCAGGGGTCTGGGCCGTGTCCTTGGGCCTCTCTGTGCTTAAGGCTAGCATTCTACCACTTGAGCTACAGCACCACTTCCGGCCTTTTCTGTGTATGTGGTACTGAAGAATCAAACCTAGTGCTTCGTGCTTGCTAGGCAAGCACTCTACCCAGCCCCCTAAGACTGCTCCATCTCCCTCATCATCCCTTCACCCCTCCAATCTGTGCAGCATGGCCTTGCCCGAGTTGGAGACAGGGACGCCTCCCTGGGACACTCAGGGGTCACTCACAATGCGCTCAAACTCCTTAGCCTGCATCAACTCCCGGGGAAAGCCATCAATGAGGAAGCCCCGGCTCTGCGGCTGGGACAGCATGTTATCGCTGACCATATCTAGGATGAAACCCTGTGAACAAAAGAAATGAGTTGAGGACTGGGAAGCTGGCTCAGTGGTAGAGTACTTGCCTTGCATATATGAGGCCTTGGGTTTAATACCTCAGCACCACATTAGCAGAAAAAGCCAGAAGTGGCGCTGTGGTTCAAGTGGTAGAGCACTAGCCTTGAGCTGAAGAGCTGAGGGACAGCGCCCAGGCCCAGAGTTCAAGCCCTGTGCCCAACAAAAAAAAAAGAAAGAAAGAAAGGGGTTGAGTGCGGGGCAGGGGGACTACTTTCTTTCTTTTTAAGCTTGTACTGTGGCTCGAACCTGCTCATCTTGCTTGCTTGCTCACAGCTGGTGCTCTACCACCTGAGACATTCCTCCAGCCCTGTTATTTTGCTTCTTACATTGGAAGTAAGTATTTTGTAGTCTTTTCTGCCCAGGAAGAAAATCCTGGTATCTCAGCCTGCTGAATAAGCCAGGAGTATAGGTGTGAGCCACCAGTATAGGAAAGAGCAGGTGTGTGTGTGTGTGTGTGTGTGTGTGTGTGTGTGTGTGTGTGTGTGTGTGTGTGTGTGTGTGTGTGTGTGTGTGGTTCTTTTGGTATTGGGGGCTGGGCACTGTCCCTGAGCTCTTTTTGCTCAAAGCTTTTTTTTTTGCATTAAGAGTATGATGTATTTATGTTTTTAAAGGCCCAGTACAAAGAATGGTTGAGGAAAATGACATTTTAACAAAATATACACCCGTTTGCTCAAAGCTTTTGCTCTACCACTTTGAGCCACAGCTCCGATTCTGGTTTTCTGGTGGTTTATTGGAGATAAGAGGTTCATAGGAAGTGGTGCTGTAGCTCAAGTTGTAGAGTGCTAGCCTTGAGCTGAAGAGCTGAGGGACAGCGCCCAGGCTCAGAGTTCAAGCCCCACAACCGACAAAAACAAACAAAAAGAAAAGAGGGGGCTGGGAAGGTGGCTCAGTAGAAGAGCACTTGCCTTGAATGCATGAGGCCCTGGGTTCGATTCCTCAGTACCACATAAGCAAAAAGTAAAAAAAAAAGCCAGAAGTGGCACTGAGGCTCAAGTGGTAGAGCGCTAGCCTTGAGCTGAAGAGCTGAGGGACAGCGCCCAGGCCCAGAGTTCAGGCCCCACAACCGGACCAAAAAAAAGAAAAAGAAAAGAGGTTCACAGACTTTCCTGTCCCAGGCTGGCTTTGAACTGTGAATCCTCAAATCTCAGTTGGCTGAGTAGCTAGGATTACAGGCATGAGCATCAGTGTCCAGTGGAAAAGGCAGTGTCTACAATGATCATTTATTTATTCCTCACTCTGGACTGTAGAGCAGACTAATGCCATTCTGTGCCTGATATGCCTTAGATTATTGCTATTTTGTGGCGTTGGGAATGGAACCCAGGGCTTTGTGCATACCAGGCCATTGCTAGTCATTAAACCTCTCCCCAGATAACTTTTCTTTTCTTTTTCTTTTGTTGCCAGTCCTGGGGCTTGAACTCAGGGACTGAGCACTGTCCCTGAGCTTCTTTTGCTCTACCACTTGAGCCACAGTGCTACTTCCAGCTTCTTCTGTGTATGTGGTACTGAGGAATCAAACCCAGGGTTTCATGCATGCTAGGCAAGCACTCTACCACTAAGTCACGTTCCCTACCCCTCCAAGTAACTTTTCTACTTATTCATTTCCAGGTAACTCAGAGGACTGGGTCCCATGTACATGCTGGGTTCTGCTGGATAGTTAATATGGCATTGTTCAGGGGTGACAAGGGATTCTGGGCCTGGGCGCTGTCCCTCAGCTCCTCAGCTCAAGGTGAGTGCTCTACCACTTGAGCCACAATCCCACTTCTGGTTTTCTGAGTGGTTTATTGGAGATAAGAGTCTCATGGACTTTTCCTGCTGGGTCTGGCTTTGAACCGTGATCCTCAGATCTCAGCCTCCTTCTATTGGATAAATCGATAGCTAGCTAGCTAGCTAGATAAGCTCTGGGGATCTGGAGAGCTGATTCTACCAGCTAATTAAAAAAAAAAACAACTAAAAAGCTATTTATAAGCTAGTGCAGGTGATTCACTCCTGTAATCCTAGCTACTCAGGACACTGAAATTTGAGAATCATAGTTTGAAGCCAGTCCATCCAGGAAAGTTCATGAGACTCTTTAGCTCTGATAAATTATCAAAAAGTCAGAAACAGAGCTGTAGCTCAAGTGGTAGAAGTCCAGGGACAGTGCCCAGGCCCAGGGAAAGCCAGACACTGGTGGCTCATATCTGTTATCCTAACTATTCAAGAGTCTAAGATCTGAGATCATGGCTCAAAGCCAGCCCAGACAAGAAAGTCCATGAGACTTATCTCCAATAAACCACCAGAAAATTGGAAGTGGCGCTGTGGTTCAAAATGGTAGAACGATAGTCGAGTAAGAAAGCTCAGGGAGGGGCTGGGAAGGTGGCTTAGTGATAGAGTACTTGTTTTGCATGCATGAGGCCCTGGTTTTTGATTCCTCAGCACCACATAAATAGAAAAAAGCCAGAATTATCTGGGTGCTGGTGGCTCATGCCTACCTACTTAGGAGGCTGAGATCTGAGGATCACAGTTCAAAGCCAGCCAAGGCAGGAAAGTCCCTGAGACTCTTATCTCCAATAAACCACTCAGAAAACCAGAAGTGGCACTGTGGCTCACTTGGTAGAGTGCTAGCCTTGAGCTGAAGAGCTGAGGGACTGTGCCTAGGCCCAGAGTTCAAGCCCTACAACCGGCCAAAAAAAAAAAAAGTTCAGGGACAGCACTAGGCCTTGAGTTGAAGCCTCATGATCAACAACAACAAAAAGTGCTATACATTCATTTATTTTACAGACAGGCTCTCCTTCTGTAACCCAAGCTGTACTAGAACTTGAGGTTCTCCTACTTTTACTTCCCAGATTCTGGGATTATGAGTGTGTACTACCATGTCCAGTTTTTATATTGTAGCCTTTGGAAGTGATCTTTTCTTTTCCAGTAAGAAAAAAGAAGCATGGTGCAACTCCATGGTAAAGTACAGAGCTCTGGCCTTTCCAACCCACCACCCATCTCCCCCCTTGCCTGTGACTCACCGTGGGCACCAGAAGCCCCTTCATCATGATGTCACGGATCTGCCGGCCCTGTTGGGTGCTTTTTTGGGCTTCCTGCCTCAGAAGCTGGCCCAGTCCCACATGGCTGAAGCCATATTTGATGGCCATGTTCTTGCACTGGGTTCCTTTCCCACAGCCTGGGCCACCCACCACGAAGATAATCAGGGGGGACTTGAGGATGTCTGTGGTGTTGAGGGAGGGGAAGAAGGGGGGGGGAAGCGCCTGATCCATGGAACCCCATCCACAGGCTAGCATGCATCTAGACCGCCCTCCTTCTCCCCCGTGGTGTTCGTCCTGTTCCTGAACTTGCCAAACTCAATCCTCAGTCTTCTCTTGGTGTTTTCTCTACACCAGGGAAATCCCTGCATGCCTGTTTCTTCCCTTCTCTACTGGTGCCATCTCTGTGTATCCTCTGCTTGGCCTCTTTCTTTCTTTTTCTTTCCTTGTCCTAGGGCTTTAACTCGGGGCTTTAACTCAAGGCCTGGGCACTGTCCATGAGCTTCTTTTGCTCAAGGGGAGGACTCTACTGCTTGAGCAACAGTGCTACTAATAGCATTTTCTGAGTATTTATTGGAGATGACTCACAGTCTTTTCTGCCCTGGCTGGCTCTGAACTATGATCCTTAGATCTCAGCCTCCTCAGTAGCTAGGATGGTGGTGTGAGCTACTGGCGCCCTGCTATCCTGTGCTCTTACTCTGTCTCAGAACTCTGAAACCCAAGAGGGCCAGGACTAGGACTATTTCTCAGTCATCTATGTGCCTGAAAGGGCGATAAATGTCACTGCTGGGAGTATTTCATGGCCCAATATTTGTGTCTTGGTTCCTTTTCTCTTTGTTGAGCCTATGCCAACTCCTATGAATCCCTTCATGCCTAATGAAGCCTCTTCTTTCTCCCCCCTTTTCTTTTTCTGGTCGTGGGGCCTGAACTCTGGGTCTGGCACTGTCCCTCAGCTCTTCAGCTCAAAGCTAGAGCTCTACCACTTGAGCCACAGTGCCACTTCCATCTTTTTCTGCTTATGTGGTGCTGAGGAATCGAACCCAGGGCCTCATGCATGCAAGGCAAGCGCTCTACCAGTGAGCCACCTTCCCAGCCCCTTTGCTTCTTCCTTATGTCCTCAGAGCCCACTGCACTTCTCCTGAATCCTAATGAGATACAGATCTCGTTTTCTGACTGTCTCTGCTACACTGTAATCTTCAAGAAATTAGAGAGCTGATTTGAGGGCCCAGAAAGCAGCAGGTGCTCAACTGGGTCCAACCTAATTAATGACAGGCAGAAGCAGCAGCAAGCACAATTGTGGGGCTGTGCACATACCTAGATGGAGGGGATACCTGCCAGCCACTCCCACCACATTACCCTTCTCCTGGGGCTTCAAGGATCTGCCCATGTGGGGCAGCTTGGAAGTGCACAGACCCATCAGGCCAGCAGCCCTGGGTGTGGTCCCAAGCCATCTCCACCGGGCCCTGACTTCTCCAGAGGATCTGCTCCATGTCACAATAGTCCCCACCTCAGGCTTTTTTGTTTGTTTGTTTTGTTTTCTTGTAACAGTCCCGGGCCTTGAACTAGGGGCCACTTGAGTCACAGTTTTTTGCTGGCTAATTGGAGTCAAGAGTCTCAAGAACTTTCCAGCCCAGGCTGACTTGGAACCGTGATGCTCGGATCTCAGGCTCCAGAGCAGCTAGGATTCCAGGCTTGAGCCCCACCCTACTCATTCTGCGGGGTGCTAGAGATGCTGGGGAAGAAAATAAACCCCAGCCAGACCACCCGGCAAAGCGGTAGGCCTCGGTTGCTATGGTGACGCGGCCTCCGCAGCCACGGCTGGAAAGCGGTGAGGCGCATGCGCGAACTCGCACCCGGGCGCCCACGAGGAGGAATCTTCCATCCCGGCTCCCCGCCTACCCAGGCTGCCCCGCGGCCCCTGCGAGCTGTCGTCCCGAGGACGGCGTCCCCATGCGTTAGTAACTAAACTCTCCGCCTGTATAAGAGCGTCCCGATCATAAAGAAGGTGTTTCGTTTATCTCATACTCGTTCTGGATGCGCCAAGGGACGGGGAAGGGGGAGAAGAAAGGAATTGAAACGGCCAAGCGACGGCTCCCGGTCCCCGCCACCACGGAGACGGTTGCTATGGCGACGCGGCCCGTGAGGCGTTAACTTCCGGGTCATGCGCAGGCGCAACAAGAGCTTCGGCGCCCAGCTTCCGGGTAGTTTCTTTTTAGTTCTCCTCGGAGTGGGTTGGCTGTCCCCGGGGCTCGGGTTCCGAGGGGACGGTGGCCTGGGCACCGAGAGACACAGACTCCCTTGAGGACGAAAAGCATCTGCTCGCCGGTCATGGCGGCGCTAGTGAGTGTCCACGGGGCGGGCTCGGGGTCCCGGCGGCGGCGGCCTCGGGGACCCCCGGCCCCATCACCGTGTCTGCCTCTCTCCGCAGGGCCCCGGCAGCCAGAGCGTCACCGAGTACGTCGTCCGCGTGCCCAAGTAAGTGCCCGGCTGCAGGGCCGCGCGGCCGGGCTGGGTGTGGGCCCCGGCAGCGTCGGAGGGAGGGCGGCGTGAAGCTGGCCCGCTCCTCACTAGACCCCAGGCCTTCACACTGGAGCCCCACGGGCTCCTCTGGCCACTTAAGCAACTGTCACAGCTCGCCAGTCACCAGCCGTCGTTCGGGTCCTGTCTCCAGCAGATCAGCCTTTGGTCATGCTGTGCCCTGGGTCAGGACGTGCTGCCGTCCCCCTACGCTATGACTCTGCAAGTTGGATTTTGGGGATCCTGTGATACTCAGTTGCAGTGTTTTCTTCAACCCTGAGCCAAGTTCCCCCTTGTCCTCCCATCTGGTGTTTCCCAAAGGCTTTGTCTTTCTCCTCTTCTGTGTTCCCTAACAAACAGAATCCCTAAAGGGCTTTATTTATTTGTTTATTTTGGTCCGGTCGTGGGGCCTGAACTCTGGGTCTGGGCGCTGTCCCTCAGCTCTTCAGCTCAAGGCTAGCGCTCTACTACTTGACCCACAGCACCACTTCCGGCTTTTTTCTTTTTCTTTTTGCTTGTGTGGTGCTGAGGAATCGAACCCAGGGCCTCAGGCATGCAAGGCAAGTGCTCTACCACTGAGCCACCTACCATTGAGCCACCTTCCAAGCCCAGGGCTTTATTTATTTACGTGGGCTTTTTTTTTTTTTTTTTGGTGCCAGTCTTGGAGCTTGAACTCAGGGTCTGGGCGCTGTCCCTGAGTCAGCTCAAGGCTAGCACTCTACCACTTGAGCCACAGCACCTCTTCTGGTGGAAAGTAATTGGAGATGAGTCTCATGGATCTTTCCTGCCCGGGCTGACTTTGGATAACTGGCATGAGCCACCGGTGCCCAGTCTGAGCTCTTTTGCTCAAGGCAAGTGTTCCACCACTTCAGCCACAGTGCCAAGTCTCAAGTTTTCTGAGTAGTTTATTGGAGATTAGAGTTTCGTGGAGCCAAGTGCCAGTCTCTCACGTCTGTAATCCTAGCTACCTAGGAGGCTGAGATCTGAGGATCACTGTTCAAAGCCAGCCCAGGCAGGAAAAGTATGTGAGATTCTTATCTCCAATAAACCAATCAGAAAACTGGAAGTGGCACTGTGGCTGAAGTGGTAGAGTGCT